GTGACTGAGAAGGCCATGACATATGGATAACATCAATGTCATGTTCATAAAACCCTTGGGTGACTACTCGTGCTCTGTGGATCTCATACTCTGTCCTAAGACACCCCCTCTGCAGGACAGAAATGCTGTAACATGGGGTGAAGATGATCACTCAGTACCATTAAGTAATGATTGGCATGGACCTTGTCTTCTAAGGGTATAAGTACACTCAAACCATGCCAGGAAAATGTGACCCACACCATTATGGAACCACCAGAATCCTTCACTGTTGGATCCAAGCACTCAGGGCTGTAGAGTTTATTAGATTAGTGCCACACATGTACTCATCCATTTGTTGAGAACATGGTGAAGGATGATTCATCTGATCATATCACATTTCTCCACTACTCAGTAGTCCATAGCCTGTGCTCTTTGCACCACTGGACACGCAACCATGCATTGCTATGTGTGATGAATGGTTTGTGCACTGCAACCTGACTATGGTATCCCATTCTGTGGAGCTCTCGGTGCACCATTATTGATGAAACTGGCTTCTCTCACCCCAGGTTTAAATTGGCAGTCAATTGATCTGCAGTTGCTTGCCTCTTTTGCCTTGCAGTTTGAATTAATGCATGGACATCGTGATCCTGGAGTATGCACTTCCAACCACTGTTGATGATGTCTTTCCCTCCGAGTTCCATACAGATATCAACTTAGACACCGATGCTCGTGAAACATCAGCTGGTTGAGCTGTCTTGGTCACTGAAGCTCCCGCCAAACATGCCCCAACATCACCCCTCTTTCAAAGTCAATGAGGTCTCCTCTTGCAGCCATGCTAGCCATGATTATAGGCAACCAAGCCTGTCCAGCATTTTTATGCATGTTGGGATGTTATCTATTTATGTACTTGTATACTCTTGTTGTCCCTCATTTACCAAAGTGTTTCCATTTTTGTCCACTACTTGTATTATAAAGCCTAAGGCTCAGGCTTTATAATATGTAAATATTTGTACCTAAAGGAGAAGAAAAGGCACATGTACAAATCATTACCTTGACATTGCTTTGCCACATAGAGGTAGTCTTCTATCTGTCTGAAGGTAGAAAAATGCCATTCTTTCTTAAAGTTCTCCCCTACAGTCCTATATCATAAAACTGGTCTGTGTAGTTTGACTAGCCTGCTCAAAATCTGATATGACTAGCTTAAGTCTTTACATCACAGCTGAATGAATATGAATAACTGAGTTTATAACTGACTAGTATCTTTGCGCTTCTTGTGTTTAAGTTTTTTACATCTCTGGCTCAGCTAAATAACATACCCTGAACTGTGACTAGATTTAATAGATTCCAACACTTCCTATATGTGATTACAAAGAACTTTAACTGTTTAACTTCAAACACTTTCACATATTTACATGTTAAACTGCATTAACATCTATAACATATTTACATGTTACACTAATATATTGTAGTTGTTCAACAACTCCTATGGGAGCTGAAGCACTTCTTTGGACAAAGCCGTGACTACTCTAACTTGATCATAATTTGATAACTGAATATTACTCATTGAATATTCAAAAGACTGTCTAGAGTTTCTGCTTTCAATTAACATCTGTATTTGTTTTTTATTATATTTTGGGCACTGAAACTCTTTTCACACTCAACCCTTGTAACAGCTATACATAGAGCTATTGCATACAGCTTTGCAAACTCAAGCATCACACAGACTCTGAGTAGGTAAATGTTTGTATGAGCCTGAAATCAAACCATGGGCCACTCTTGCTTGAGCTTTTCTCTGTCTAAGAGTTTGCTGATTTGTTTTTGTTCTTCTCTTTGTTCATCCTCCCTCTGGAGACTGCCA